CCATGGCGGGCCTGTGGGCAGCGCACAGGCGCCGAGCGGCCTGGGTCCCAGGGACGCCACTGGAGTGTCCAGTCCTGTCAGCCCCGCCTGGCGGCAGCTGAACTTCCCAATCCTTTTCATTTCTGCAGCCCCTGGACGGGAAGTGAAAACCAAGAGCATGGGGAGCACCAGGAATTCTGGGAATCATAGTTCTGGTGGCAGCCCCTGGGCTGGAAGCAGAAGCCCAGAGTGCGGGGAGCACCAGGAATGCTGGGAATCGTAGTTCTGGTGGCAGATGCGTTGTGGGATCTCCTAGATACTAGAGCAAAGTGAGCCTGGAGCAAGTTACTGTTGCAGGTGTGGGATGGAGGGGCAGCAAATGTAAGAGACATACGTAAAGTCAGAGTGTCGAGGAAAAATTAAAAGGAAGATATCCTGCAACTTCTAGGAAATCTCCACTAATGGAGCAAAGAAAAAAAAAGACCTCTACTATTCTTTGAGCACAAAACCAAACTGGGTTGGGGTCTCAGACAATTCGCTCATATCATTGCAAAGACAGACAGAAACTCCCGGATTGGAGAGGGCTCCCCTGAGGGCTCCCAGATTGGAGAAGGTGCAGGTCGGGCTGAGGGACCCACCCCCTATGCACGAATCTTCGTGCACCGGGCCCCTAGTGATGTTATAAATAGCCAAATGGCCCTTGGATGAAAAAGGTTTCCCATCCCTGCTTTAGGATTTTGATATAATGCAGTCCCTTGCCTCCCTTCTTTCTTTCACCCAGGGCATCTTCAGAAGTAAGTTGGTTTCCTAATACTGAGCCTATACATCTTCTGACCAAGGAAAGTATAGATGTTAGTAAGAAACCCAATAGAGATATTTAGCTACCAGTTAAGTAAAGGTTCCAAATTAATCCTTATCTAAAGTCATTCTAGGAGTCTCTCCTTTCAGTGGACCTTGACATAGGAAAAAAATCACTCAAAAAAAGTTTTAGTTTGATGTCATTAACCCAGAGGATCAGACTAATAAGAGCTACAATTCAAATTTTCCAAGAGAAGCAAAAACTTTAACACTGTATGTTTAAAATATATATGTAATACTATACAGTGGGGCCTTGACTTACGAGTGTCCCTACTAACGAGTTTTTCGAGATACGAGCCGTCTCTCGGCCGATTTTTTGCTTTGAGTTGCGAGCTAAAATTCGGGTTACGAGACAGCTTCAGATACCCCACCGCTAGTTGGCGCAGCGAACGTCACAGTGAACACCACAACATCAGCCCAACGTGTCTCACTCGTTCACATTAAGATTTGACATACGAGTAATTTGAGTTACGAGCTCCGTCATGGAACGAATTAAACTCGTAAGTCAAGGCCCCACTGTATTAATGAAATACTAGTCTTCTATATTTGATAATTTTCAGTGAAACAGAATTTCATCAGATTTTTCTTCTAGCTTTTTAGGTCAAAATCCAATCTCATATATTACTAGAGGTCCGGTGCACGGATTCGTGCACCTGTGGGGGATCTTGGCCTGGCCTGCATCCTCTCGCAATCCAGGACCCCTCAGGGGATGTTGGACTGCCGGTTTTGGCCCGATCCCCGCAGGCCAGGCCAAGGGACCCCACCAGGCCTCTAGTATGCATATAAGATCTTCAGTTAATCTTTCCCTGCCCTCCCCCCTTCTCTCTGAGATTCATCAGTCTGTTCCATGTTTCCATGCCTGTACGTTGAGCATCTACCCCCAGTCGTCAGCCTAACAGAACCGACCACTGTTACACAGTTTTCAATACTGAACAGTTATAGCCCCAAAATACATTCCTATCCCAGCACATAGGATATTACATGTTTTAGCCATCAGTATCCATATATTTTTTTCTTTCCAATTTAATCACTAAATATGATTAAATTGGTTTTATAAATGCTATCAGTTTTATAAAGTAACACCTAACATATTCTTCAACTACTTCTTCTTGGCACATTTGAAAAACAAAAGTATTATTAATCTTATTATGCATACCTCTATTCTTCTAAGAGTGTGAAACAGCCATATTAAGCTTAGAATATTAATTTCTCACTTAAAAGTTTTATTTTATTCTGATTAAATTTGGAAAATAAAGTTATACCATTTCATATCTAATTTTTTGAAAATTTAAAAAACAAAAAAGCCCAAACTGTTGCTAGTGTATCACTTAACTGCTCTGCTAATGTTCGTAATATAATATTGCAGGGATCTCAGTGCTTGGCACAACTTCAATGTTCAAAGAGTAATATGGTTTGATCTTTAGTCAGAATCAAATCCAAAAGTACAAATTAATGATAATTTTTTTAAATCAACAAATGTTTCACTGAATTATATTTCATAATTTTATTTACATTTTTCCCCATCATCATTTATCCCTCTATGCCCTTTTCCAATTCCCCCCCTCCACAATCACCATACTGTGGTTCATGTCCTTAAGTTCTGTTTTATCTTTATTTTTCACTCAATCACTCCACCCCTACCAGCACCCCCAAACCACCAGAGTTGTGCTCTCTGTCTATGAGTCTGTCTACATTTTGTGTGGCATTTCACTTTCTTCATTAAATTCCAACACGAGAGAAATCGTATGGTACTTGTCTCTCTCTCTGACTGGCTTATTTCACTTCTCCAGGTCCATCCATCCTATTCTAAAGGGTAAAATTTTCTTCCTTTTTATAGCAGAGTAGTATTCCATTGTGTAAATGTATCATAGCATTTTTATACACTCATCTACTGAAGGACACTTGGCCTGCTTCCAAATCTTGACTATTATAAATAATGATGCAATTAACATAGGGGTACATATATTCTTTCAAATTAGTGTTTCAAGTTTACTCAGATAAATTCCTAGAAGTAGAAACACCGAGTCATAAGGCAGTCACATTTTTAACTTTTTGAGGTAACTCCATACTGCTATCCACAGTAGCTGCACCAATCTGCATTCCCACCAGCAGTGCATGAGGGGTCCCTTTTCACCACTATTACATAGTTTGATAACATTATTTGATAACAACCATTTAGACAGGTGTGAGGTGATATCTCCTTGTGGTTTTAACTAGCATTTCGCTGATGATTAGTGATGTTGGGCATCTTTTCACATGTCTATTGGCCATCTATCTGTATGTTCTCTTTGGAGAAGTGTCTATTCAAGGCTTTTGTCCATTTTTTAAATTGGATTGTTTGGTTTTTTTTGGTGTTGAGTTTTACCAGTTATTTATATACTAGAGGCCCATTGCAGGAAGATTCCTGCAAGTATAGGGCTTCCTGTGGCTGGAGCGAAGCAGAGAAGGGAGCGAAACCCACGGAGGCGGGCTTTGCTCCCGCCTTCACCGCCCCGCTTGCTTTCCTCCCGTCTCCACCGCCCTGCTTGCTTCTCCGCAGCTTTGCTCCCTTCTGCAGTGCTTGGCTTCCTTCTATCAGTCTTTGCTCTGTGCCTGCATATGCAAATTAACTGCCATCTTTGTTGGGTTAATTTGCATACTCATCTGATTGGCTGGTGGGCATAGCGGAGTGACACCAATTTGCATGTTTCTCTTTTATTAGTGTAGATTTTAGAGATTAACCCCTTATCAGATGTATCACTGGTGAATATGTTCTCCCATTCAGTGGGTTGTCTTTTCATTTGGCTGATGTTTTCCTTTGCTGTGCAAAAACTCTTTAGTTTAATGTAGTCCCATTTGTTTATTTTCTCTTTTATTTCCCTTGCCAAAAAATATATGTCAGAAAAATTATTGGTACATGAGATGTCGGATATTTTAGTGATGTTTTCTTCTAGAATATTTACAGTCTTGCGACTAACCTTTAAGTATTTGATCCATTGTGAGCTTATTCTTGTGTGTAGTGTAAGAAGGTAGTCTAGTTTCATTTTTTGGATGATGATTTGGGGAATTCAAATAGTCACTGTAGGATCGAGTTTTTTCCAAAATGATGGTGAATTAACTGGAAGCTACACTGATACTATCTCAGGACCAAACTGGAATTACAACTAAAATATAGAAAACAAACCAGAATAATAAATAATTTTCATATTATTTCACCTACTATTTTCAAATAGAAAGTTAGTATCAAGGTTTATTACCTTTGGCAACTCCCATTCCGACCTAGATCCATCAGCACTGTAGTAATATTGTCTACCTTGATCATCAACATGCTTGAGCCACTATAAAAACAGAACAGGTGTTATTTTTTAATTTAAATAAAAGTGAGTTTAGGTTTATACAACCAGAGATATTAGTTATTATTCCTATGAATTGTATTCTACCTGCTTTAGAAAACTTCAAAAGAAATTTTTAACAATCTTATGCTAATAGTTACATTTTAAGTTTGGTAAGATTAAATAAACTCAATATTAAATTAAGTTTATTTTCTCTCTCTTTCCTCCAAAGTAAAGCTAGGGGTTCAAGTACCACTAAACAACATAAGAAATATATAACATAAAGATATATATACACACACACACATATATATATATGCACTGAACACAGGGCGACACCCACCCTAAAAAACAGGATTGAGAAATTAATAAAAAGATATTTTTTTCTTCAATCTTTAAATATAAAACTACTAAAAAATTTAAGCCAAACTTCATGTAGGCAACACATCTTACTTACTATGATTAAATAATAGAAAAATATTTCATACAATATAACACAGAGAATATGAGGGGAAACAGACTAAGTACTGCTAATACAAATATATTATCTTGACTGTAATATATATAAATATTACTGATTCCTTATGTTCTAGTGACAAATAATTAAAGCAGAAATGAGAAATAAAAGCCTACCTCCATTCATTCCAAGGGCATGTTCTCTAAACCAGCCCAACTAAACAGTTACCTTCTCTGATGATAAGAGATGTAATATACACATAAAATTTCAATGTGCATTCTCCCAAACTAGTTAATTATTCATAAAATACTAAACTCATGGGTTCTGTTTTACATAACTTGGTTATGAAAGAAAAATGAGTGTAAGAAGTGAGGCAGTATATCATAATAACATACTAAGTAAACTATTCCCAAAATCTATTCTCCATGAAAAATAGTCAGCCCTTTGAATCTGCAGATTTCCCATCTACATATTTAACCAACTGTAGATTGAAAATAAATCCCCAACCTCAATTCCCAGAAAGTTCCAAGGAGCAAAATTTGGATTTTCCAATGTGTCAAGCACTACACTGAATCCACATGAATGAAGTGATGTGTAGGCAGGTCCAGCTTTAGCCCATGTACAAACATAGGTTATTTGCAAATACTATGCCATTTTATATAACGCCAGTATTTGAGCATCCTCAGATTATGGTTATCTGTGGGGAAGAGGAGGGTTCTGGACCAATCCCGCAAGGATACCAAGGACAAGTATATAAAGAAGTATTTTTATTAAACAAGTCTAAACAGAATGACACTTAACAGGCCTACTCTTAAAAAGGTCTGTTCTAAGTGGGTTCTGACACCATAAAAATAATCAATGTAATTGTAAGCAGTTTAAAACCTGAGTCAGTAGTTATATTGAGTTTTCATGTTGTCAACTTACATAACTACAGAATTACAATGAAGAATATTTTCATGAGTTTTTTAAATACTACTAAACTTTTAGTACACAATGATTTTATGAGAGGATTCAACCAAGAAAACTAGATGACAAAAAAGAATGTACCTTTTCATTAGTATAGTCACTGGTATATAAGGTATGCCCACGTTCATCCAACTCTTCTGACCAACCCCTTGGAGGAGAACCACACTGACTATCTGACTGGCTGTAACAAATGTTGTGGCAGTTTTCTTCTGATGAAAGAAGCTATAAATAGTCAGAAACATAAGGAATTTTCTTCTTTGAATAATATAAGTATGCAGCAGTTGAAAATCTAAGAAATAAATTTTATTTGACTTTAAGTACTAAGATATCCTAAATATATTTGAAGAATTAATTTTTAAAACAAATTGTTCACCCTTTTAAATGGTACACTGTACATGCTGAGGTGAAATTAATAATAGTCATTCTATAACATTAATACAAATCTAGAAAAGTTCACCATAATAAAATTGAAAACAAAAGTTTTCACTCATCAGCAAACAAGGACTTCCATGGAAAAGCAGAATATCACCAGTACCTGAGCCCCATCACCCCCCTCCCGTGACTATTCCACCTAAACTTAATTTAGGACGTCAAAGGACAGATTCCCTTGGTCTCTGCCCTTAAAATTTCCACAATTTCAGTAATTATAACTCAACAAAGAAGTCCCTGGCTCAACGCACAAGCATGCCTGAGAGATCCACTCATTGAAATATCTAAAGGTGGGCAAGTGAGAGCAAAAGAGGGAGGCAAGAAGGCAGGAGAGCTGAGATGAGCCACCAACACAGCCCTGCATCAGAGAGCTCAGGGCGGGGCTCAGCCTGGAGAGGGGAGGAATCGGGTTCTGGTTGACAATCCCTTCAGCCAGGAAGAGCAAAGAGATCTGATGGGCATTCCTGCAGAAGCAAATAGTATGAGCTTCAGCTGAGCAGAGACCTGGACAAGGACACAGCACTGAGCTCAGGCTCAGTTGTTAGGTGGTGGGCATTACAGGTAGAGAAACAAAGCTACAAAGCCCTGCCATCACCCGTAGCCTCCCAGAGGCAGCCTCCCTTCACCCTTGGTGTTGGGTTATGGGGCACAATATCTGCAAACACGAGAACTGGTATACAGAATCACTTTTTTCCCTGAACAAAGGGTGCACTCTGTAACCAATTTAGGGGTCAGGGCACACGGGGGACCCATGGAAATTAAGGTCACCATTACTAGGAGGGCAAACAGCAAAGAAACTGGCCAGCTCCCCAGCCCACCCCACCACCAGACATCACAGCTACAGTGAGGAAAGTGTCTGGCTACAGAGAACAACACGGGATCTCACAGATATATATATATGTATCAACAACTTGTGCCCTAGCCAGTTGGGCTCAGTGGCTAGAGCGTCAGACTGTAGACCAAAAGGTCCCGGGTTCAATTCCGGTCAAGGGCACATACCTAGGTTATAGGCTCCTCCCCAGCTCTGGTCGAGGTGCATACAGAAGGCAACCAATTGATGTGCTTCTCTCACATCAATATTTCTCTCTGTCTCTCCCTCCTTCTTCTACATTCTCTAAAAAAATCAATGGAAAAATATCCTCAGGTGAGGACTGAAAAAAAACACAAAACTTGTGATTTAGCACCACCTATTAGAAAATAAGAGAAAGACCCCTTTGCATTAATCTGCTAGAGAAATGCCACTCATATACATAGATGCCTAGACAGAGAAAAAAATCTATCAAATACCACAAATAAACAAGGTAGCAAGGCAGCTCAGAAAGAGAATGAAAAATCTCCAGAAAACAAACTTAAAGACATAAAAATATGTGATATCAATGACAGCAATTTCAAGACTGCAGTTATGAAAATACAAGATATGAGAAAATACAAACAGGCAATTTAATGCACTCAGAAAACATATAAGCATAGAAAATTAACACCATACTGAAAAGACTGAAACTTTAAAAAAGAAGCAACCAAACAAATTCTGAAGACGAAGAACTCAATAAGAGATCAAGAATGAACTAGCAAGCATAGGAAATAGAGCAAAGCAGATGGAGGAAAGGATTAGTGGTATCAAAGAGAGAAATCTAGAAAAGATACAGAAGGAAGAAGAGATTTAAGCATAAAAATGATATATAAGAACTCTAAGAAAACCATCTGACTCCATCAGAAAGAGCAATCCTATATAATAAAAGCATAATATGCAAATCGACCGAAAGGCTGAACAACCACTCAGCGGGGGGGCAGGGCCGGTGAGTAGGCAGCACGAGGCCAGCCAAGGCGTCTGCCAGCGGGCAGAGAGAGGGGACAGTGATGGGGGTGAAGGGCGCAGCAGTGACCAGCAGTGGCAGAGGGACGATAGGAGGGGGGTGGGGGGCAGGCCGCACAGGCTGGTGCCATCCCCTGTTCAGCCTGCCCTATCGCCTCTCATAGAGGGAGGCTGGCAGTGGCGGCAGTGGCAGCAGCAGTGGGTTGATGGGGGCGGCGCCATCCCGATCACCTGCCCAGTCACCTCCTGCAGAGGTGTCAATAGGACATCCCCTGAGGGCTTCTGGACTGTGAAAGGGCACAGGCCGGGCTGACGCCCCCCCCCCCAACAAGTGCACAAATTTTTATGCACTGGGCCTCTATCTACACTAATAAAAGAGAAACATGGTAATTAGCGTACGACCGCTACCCTTTTCATTGGCTAATCAGTGAGTATATGCAAATTAACTGTCAGCCAAGATGGCGGCCGGCAGCCAGGCACTGAAGCGAGCATGAGGCTTGCTTGCTGCGGACTCCAACGTTCCCCGCCTCACTTGCCAGCCTCTCAGTTGCAACTCTAAGCAACTATATACTATGTTGCAAATAAGAAGCTAAACAAAACCCCAGAAAAGGGCTTCCATTCAGCCGGGCTCGGACCGCAACATTGTATCTATGTTTTCAGCAGCGAGGCCTCAGAGCTAAAGCTGGCCCAGAAAAAAAAAAAAAAAGAGAAGAAAACAAGGAGCGGTTGGAAGCTTTAGTCACTCGCCAGCCGGAAAACAGCCCTCAGCCCCTCACCCAGACTGGCCAGGCACCCCAGTGGGGACCCCCACCCTGATCCAGGACACCCTTCAGGGCAAACCAGCCAGCCCCTACCCATGCACCAGGCCTCTATCCTATATAGTAAAAGGGTAATAGGCCTCCCAGCACCGGGATCAGCGGAGCAGCAAGGCTCCCAGCACCGGGATCAGCGTGACAGGGGGCAGCGCCCAAACCCCCTGATCACCCTGTGGCTCTGTGAGTGACAGGGGGCGGGGCCACAACCTCCCTATCCGCCCTGCTCTGTTCGTGACAGGGGAAGGCACCCCAACCCCCTGATCAGCCCTCCTCTGTGCCTGATAGGGGGAAGCTCCCCAATCCCCTGATTGCCCTGCGGCTCTGTGTTTGACAGGGGGGAGCTCCCCAACCCCCTGATCGACCCTGCTCTGTGTGTGACAGGGTACGGAGCCCCAACCCCCCTGATGGGCCCTGCTCTGAGAGTGACAGGGGGCAGCGCCCCAACCCCCTGATCGGGCCTGCTCTGTGCGTGACAGGGGGTGGCGCCGCAACCTCCCCATTGACCCTGCCTTGAGTGTGACGGGCGGCGGTGCCCCAACCCCCCAATCAGCCCAGCTCTGAGCCTGACCAGGGGCTGCACTTAGGGATTGGGCCTGCCCTCTGCCCGGGAGCAGGAGGCCTAAGCCAGCAGGTCATTATCTCCCGAGGGGTCCCAGACTGCGAGAGGGCACAGGCCAGGCTGAGGGACCCCCTCTCCCCTCCGAGTGCACAAATTTTTGTGCACCGGGCCTCTAGTCTATAATAATAAAAGCGTAATACGCTTAATTAGACCGGACGACCTTCCGGACGAAGCCGGGGCTGTGAGGGAAGCCTGGGTCCCAAGTGCCAGAGGGAAGCCGGTGCCAGCAGCCAGGGGAAGGAAGGCCTACTCTTGCACGATTTTCGTGCATCAGGCCTCTAGTATAAGAATAATAGGCATACCAGAAAAAGAGGAAGAAACAGAGAGCCTATTCAAAGAAACAGCTGATAAGAACTTCCCAAACCTATGGAAAGAGCTAGATCCTTGAATCTAAGAAGCAATAACACATAGTCATTTCAATCCAAAGAGGCCTTCTCCAAGGCACATTGTATTAAAACTGTCAAAAATTAATTTTTTTAACAAAGAAAGAATTTTCAAGGCAGCCGGGGGGTAAGGGGAAGGGGAAGGTAACGTATAAAGGAAAGCCCATTACATTATCATCGGACTTCTCAGCAGAAACTCTACAAGCCAGAAGAGAAGTGGGACCAAATATTCAAACTACTGAAAGAGAGAAATTACCAGCGAAGACTAATATATCCAGTAAAGTTATCCTTTAACCCTTTGCAGTCCAATTTTATTTTTGGAATTCAAACAGTCTGGTCCAAATTAATTGACGGTATTGAATGTTGAACTGGTTTGCGGTGTTGACCTCAGCCTCGACGTTGGACCTGCTCCTAGCACCTGGTCTGTCGAGTCAGCCTCCATGTTGGACCGAAAAGGGTTAACTATGAAGGAGAAATAATTTTCTATACATACAGAAACAGAGGGAATTTATCAGAAGACCTCTACTGAAGGAAATACTCAAAGGGGTTATTCTACCTGAAACAAACAACAAAAGGTCACTATGAGTAAGTTCACCAACAAACTTACAACATAACCTGGCTGGTGTGGCTCAGTGGTTGAGCGTCAACCTATGAACCAGGAGGTCAGGGTTGAATTCTCTATCAGGGCACAATTCCCGGTTGGGGCACATGCCTGAGTTGCAGCTCAATCCCCAAGAAGGAGTGTGCAGAAGGCAGCCAATCAATTATTCTCTCTCATCATTGATGTTTCTATCTCTCTCTTCTCTCTGAAATCAATTTAAAAAATATTTTCATTAAAAACAAACTTACAGCATAATTAGAGATAATTTGTGGCAACAAAAACAGGGACAATTTGTGACAATAAAAGGGGAGAGGGTGGAGGTCTGACTTTGCAAAGGAGGATGGACATCAGATACATTCAAAAGAAAAAGAGCTACTATATACATGAAATTTTCTTTTTCATAAACCTAATAGTAACCACACACAAAAACTCAAAACAGAGACACATAGCTTAAAACAAGAGAAAAAAAAAGTGAAGTATGGAATATCACCAAAGAAAAACAGAACCACAAAGAAAAAGAACCAATGGAGGTATAGAGCTACAAGAAAACAAAAGATAAAAT